GACATGATAGATAGTCTTGAAAGACAGATGTACAAAATTTTTACTGACAAAGTATTTTGAAATTATTTTCTCTTGAAAGAAATGAAAATGACAGCATGCCAACATAAATATATCTGCTGTATAAATTGCAGGCATTCTGTGAAATTTCTTCTAGGAAGAAAGCAAAACAAATAAAGATGTGTTAGAAATATTAAGTCAAGAAACAAAGGGTAAGAGAAAATTTCCAGGAAAGAGATTCTCTCTCTCCTCTGTCCCTTTCCCCCAGAAGCAGATCTGGGTCGTGCACACCTAGAAACATGAGTATGGAGAGAAGATAGTTGGTTCTTTGTTCTCATTATCACAATGTTTTGAGCCCTCTCAACACCCAACCATATCCCAACTCTTTCTGGTATTCTGCAAAAGTATTCCACAGTGGAACCAAGAGATTCTGCTCCTACTGTCATGATGGCACTCTCTCCAGAATCCTTTTAACTCTAAAAGGGAAAAGAAGACCCTTATTGAGTATCATTATTAGTCTTCCAACAAATCTAAAATTATGACTCACATATATAGAAAATGAACACATGTCAAAAATATTTTTGACACATTAATAAGGGAACAGGTAAGTTGTTAGAACTGGTTCTAACAACATGGATTTAATTTATACTCTCTACTGGACAAAATTCATTTGCACTGCCGTGAACAGGAATCATTTGCAAAGCCAAGAGGAAATGTCTGCATTGGGTAATTTCCATTTTCTACTAGCTAGTCTCTTTCTTCAGTGTTGTATAACAGCCTGTTGTTGTTGATCCGTTGCTAAGTCATGTCTGACTCTTTGTGACCCCATGGACTTCAGTGTACCAGGCTTTCCTGTTCTTACAATCTCCCAGAGTTTGCTCAAAGTCATGTCCATTGAGTTAGTGATACTATGCAAGCATCTCATCCTCTGTTGCTCCCTTCTCCTCCTGCCCTCAATCCTTCCCAGCATCAGGGTCTTCTCCAATGAGTTGGCTCTTCGCATCAGGTGGTCAAAGTTCTAACAAAGCATAATGCCTAGTGAAAGACAAACGTTCACATCCCTGTAAGAGCAGACTATCCCAAGACTCTGGCATTCCACTGAATAGATACCTAGTAATCCTTTTTCCCATTCTAAAATCTTAAGATTTTCCTTACAGAATGATGAACAAAAATATGTAGATGATAAGTAGGTGATAGATAGACACTTTTTTTTTTAAACTCAAGGCTTGCTGATATAACTTAACCTTCAACTGTTGATGAGAAGGAATTTATTTCATTCTTAAATTTAGGTCTCAGATATATGTGCAAGCAAGAGTTAGGGTTAGGCCACATAAGTCTTGACCCTGAGAAAGGCTCAGTACTTTTTCATTAGGTACAATTTTTTATTTTTATTTTTCCAAGGAGAATCAAAGATATTGATTTCCATATCCTTTAGGAATCTCATCATCTTTTGATTCCTTTCACCATCTCTTAGATGCTTGAAATTTGGGTCCTTGATCAGCTAAGACAGTGAGCAGTTTTGTTTCATTTGGTTTTATCTGACATTGTAAAATCAGAAACTGTTCATATGTTTGAGAAATTATAATTAGGAAAAAGAGAGTAAAGCTCAGAAATCTCAGTTAATGCTGAAAAATAAAAAGATGGTAATAATTAGAGAGACATCTAAAGACTGAGCAAAAGGGAGAAGCACAGAAGATTTGAACCAACCATAGAAAGATCTTTGCCTGGCACCAGTTCATGTCTGAGCATGTCTACATTCAAAATGGATGACAGTGCCCAATACACTTCTGTACTCCATCCCTTCAAATCAACATCTACTTGATATTATTTTCAGGAAAAAAAATTAGTTTTAGGTCTGTCTTTTGCATGGGTTCCTTCCAAAATCCAACTTAAATCATTTTAGATGCTACATTAAAAACAACACAGTGGTATGATGCTTTACTATCATGATTCTTTTTTTTAATGAAATTACCTCTGAATTACAAACCATCTCTATGCTATGAGTGTGGGCTGTGTGTTCAGCCACTTAGTTGTGTCCAACTGTCTGCAACTCCATGGATGCCAGCATACTTGGCTCCTCTGCCCATGTGATTTTCCAGGCAAGAATACTGGAGTGGGTTGCTGTTGCCTCCTCTTATGCTAAGAGACTCTACCTCTACAGTTTTTTCTACGATCATACCTGAATCTTCTTTGAAAGCCTTACGGTGGATTTTAGCCCATAGTAATAACAACAAAAAAAAATCTGACGATAAACCTACAGAATTGGCCCACATTTCAAGCAATGAGAAGTGATTTAGTGACAAAGAGCTTTTAATATGAGAATAAGAGTTCAGTTCTCCCTCCAGGTGAAAGCAGAAAGAGGTATGCAATATTTTAGTACCTTTTAAAAAATGCTTATGAAATATTTCTCTCCTTTATCAGAATCTGGCTTCTTCTGTAATGGAAGCAATCAGTATTTTTGATAGTCAATTGCATATGTGATGATAAATATCTTTCCAGATGCCTAACATTTCTCAGCTTCTCTCTGGTTACTAATCCATCTCAATTTATTGCTTCATATAATTTAAAAAATATAGCTAAATGTGATGTTAATGTATCCTAGTTTGGCTATCTTGTATTTGATCTATGGAATGTCACTTACTTTTCTGGAACTGATTATAAATTAAGCGTAAGTGCCTTTTCTGAAGTCACAGAAACTTTGAAGCACTCATGTTTGATTAGTGGTAAGTGACAGGTTATATTTCACTAACTGTACTGATTATTAAAAGAAATCAGTCTATCTCCCTATTTCTCTTCTTTATGGTGCAGAGATTCTGATAATTGGCCCAAGATTTGATTAAAATTTCCAGTCTACATTTCCATGTGGAGCGATAATGTAGGGAACTATGCATGAAGACTTTCTGAACCTCAGGCCCTGCCCACATACAGAGGACCTCTGCGAAGCCCATATGCTGAGAGGGAGCATAAAACCATGGGATGCTTCCTGGCACACAGGCACAATGCTGTCAGAGAGCAAGTGTGCACACTCACACACCGATAACTTCACTCAGAGGGCCTCAGTCAGAGGATAGACAGTGCAGGAGAAGGAAGCTATTTGTGGGTGTAACTGGTGGTTTTGGTTGGCTGGTTATAGAGTGTGTGTTGAAGACGACCAACTTTCCTCTTGTTTTTACACCCAAGAATGGTGCAAGTTGAATCGGGGAAAGCCAAATGCAGCACTTTGTGGAAAGCATGCACTTTGAGCATCTACAGAAGGAGAGGACTCTGTGGAGAACAAGGACTAATCAGAATGAAGTACCCACTCTGACACAGAAAAACCTGGGAAATACAATGAGCAGACACGAGGATCAGTAAATGATGGAGGCCATGGATGACATGGGAGGATGAGGATACACATGAGACAGAGCCAGAGACTTCATCCCAGTCCTTGGGGAAGAAGGGTGGGAAGTTAGTATTCAAACCCTAGTAGCCTTCTATGTAATCTACTTGATTAGCTAAATGCAGCATAGCATGTGGCTCATACCTAAGAGAGGGGTTAGTCCTTCTCAGCAAACACTTTTATTGTTCTCAATGGAAGATTCACAACTTACTGGTTGTGATTCTAGTGGCCAGTGAAGGTCAATCATGGTGTTAAACATAGGTAGACTCTTTCCTGCCTGGTCAAGTTCAGCGCCCATAATGGCACCTGGAACAGGAAAAAAAGAGGTAGAGATGATGAGATCTCCTGATTAATAAAGGGGTCTTGGAGCAGATATGCTCCCAGGAGTGATTGGTAAAGTGTTGGTCAATCCTGAAGAAGTATTAATGCAGCTCACTGAAATAAATGTCATTGGTTCCACTACTGATCAGAACAATTATATACCCTGTAGAAGTAAAGACACAAAGAGAAGCTGCAGAAGGGAAACAAGGATGACAGAGGCCTTTTTAAAAATGTAGCAAGATGTCAGTACTAATAATTCATTTTTTCTTAAGAAACAATAATAGAATTGGTCCTCATTGACTTATTATACCAACAAACTGTGGTTCATTGAAATGAAATTGAAAGTCTACCACTCAGTCATGTCTGACTCTTTGTGACTACAGTCCATATAGACTGTAGTCTGCCAGATTCCTCTGTCCATGGGATTTTCCAGGCAAAAATACTAGCGTGGGTTGCCATTCCCTTCCCAGGGAAGATCCAGGGGTTGAACCCAGGCAGATTCTTGAGCCACAAAGGAAGCCCTCATCCAAATATAAGCTTCTAAAAATGTGTCCTGGGTGCCTTTATTATGTTACACTTTTGTTTACATAATTTGGGAGAAAAAATTTTATTCCAAAGTTACACACACACAACTCAGGAGGAAGCACACGTCTTGGAGTCTAGATTGAATGCTGATGACATTCTTTCTCCTGCTCTTTGCATCCAGCTTCTACTTGAGTGAATTGCTGACATTCTTTCTCCTGCTCTTTGCATCCAGCTTTACTTGTTTTTTGCTTGCTCTGCTGCTAAGTACAGACACCTGAGAGAGTGGCTCTGCAGAGAGGGAAGGGCCTGGCCAGCCAGACTAGCTGATGAGGGAGCACAAAGTCTGCATTTGCCTCAAAGCAGAACCTCAGTGTAAGGCTTCATCTATCATTGCACCCTTGTCTGTTACCCTGGGCTTCCCCAGTGGCGCTGGTGGTAAAGATCCTGCCTGCCAATTCAGGACACAGGTCCCATCCCTGGATCTAGAAGATCCCCTGGAGAAGGCCCCAGCAACCCACTCCAGTACTCTTGCCTAGAGAATCCCATGGACTGAGGAGCCTGGCAGACTTCAGTCCATGGAGTTGCAGAGAGTTGGACACTACTGAAGTGACTTAGCACTCATGTACTGTTTCCCTGCCCATCCGTTTGCTACTTCCCTGTTCCTGGGAACACTTTCTTCTTAATCACTTGGAATCAAACTTAGCTCAGGGTCTGCTTCTGGGAGGAACTACCTCAAGTAAAGTCAGGAAACCCTGATTCAAAACCCGGTTAGACTTACCAGCTGCCAGGCCTTGAAACCTGTCACTTAACCCAGAGGTATGTCAGTTTCTGCCTCTGTTTAAAAAAAAAAGAAAAAGAAATCTATAACTCTTATTTGGCTGGGTTCTTGTGAAGATTAAAGGAGGTGATATATGAGAAGTGCTTAACATGGGCCCTAGTGTGGGGTAGGCACTCAATAAATATTAGTTGAATGTGAATATTTACTGGCAAGTCTTGGTTTCCACTATTTTAAGATCGTCGGTATTATTTTTAGTTTCATGCTGCTCCTCACCAGCTGGTATCTAGATTCATATTTATTGCACAGAATTTATATATCTTTTTGCTGAGTTACTCAGCTCTTGTTCACTTGTTTATTCATTGTGTTTAGTCAACCTGAGTAGGATTCTATAGTCACAATCTGGTGGCTTTGACCCATACAGGGGACTGGATTATATGCATGGCTTCACCATTCAGCTCGTGCTGATAAAATAAGTTAACAAATGAACTAAAGAAATCCAAAAGGTGCTTTTGTCACAACAAAATGATAGTTGTATCTCCTTATGCAAAGTGCAACAAATATTTGGACAATTATCTGGGAAATTCAAGACCAAGAAAAGCTAAAGTGCTGAATTTATCTTTAATTTTCTCTAATTCCTTACTTGTATAGACTATGCCTTTAAAAAAAATATTTGTATAATCTAGTCTTAGATATCCAGAGACTCTTTTTTGGGGGGGGTCAGGATAGCAAAAAACCCTCCTGTATTTTTACATTTGGCTTATGGATTGCGCTTAATGCCCTGAAAGACAAAACAGCAATCAGAACTTTCTTGAGGGAAAATTAGAGATCCATTTTCCAATCTTTGAGGAGATGCATGTAACATAAAACATGGGTGCCTGAACAATGATCATTGTTTGATTGAACAATTGCTTTTAGCAAGCTGCCCAGGCTTGTTTGTATAACTTTCTTTGCATTTATTCCTGGAATATGTAGGGACAAGAATCAAAAGCAATCATTATTTAATATCCTCAGGTCATATAATTTGGAAGGGCTTAAGACATCCTAACGACTTTGAAAGGTCCCTGTCCTTAAAATAATAATGTGTTTTGAATATGGGTTTTTAGACTGTGTAGGCACTTGATGGCATTGATTTTTCAATTCTGTGATAAACACTCTTCCCTTTATGAATTTTATTAGCATTCATTATTCAAATGGTATTCTTATTTACCTTCCACTGTTGACAAAGAACAGTAGAAAAGAAAAGTTTATGAGCATAAAATTGCATTTAAATTGTGATACAAACAGTAAAGAATAATGTTCTCTTTTGAAAAGATAAAGACTTCATATTTCAAAAAAAATTATCCTAAGGCCAAATTACAGTGGCTAAGTGGTCTTGCCTTCTATGATGGGATTCAAAAAAATGATAGAAAACAAGCATTTGAGAATTGGTCGTGATTTCTCCAGCTTGCTTCAATCTTTCATACCACACATAATTGATGAGGCATCTGATTTGATCATTTTTCTCTACTCTGCAGGCAAATTTCCAACTGTTCTCATGGGGCTGGAAATAGCCCAGTATGACATGAGGTTTGCCCATCCAGACCTCACTGCCTTGGTCTTGACCATCCTAGTTCTGTTCTCATCTTATAAAGAAGCCACTGAGCTGAGTGATGACATAGCAGGACATCATCTAAAGTCAGGATGGACAGTATGAACGATGGATGAGGGGTTGATTTGGTAAAAACCAAGGTCTTGTACCTTCAGGGAACACTCTAGAAACCTATATCCACTTAGCAGAGCCATTGCTCTTGCCATTTTGGTCACAGTTGGGGGAAAATGGCCATGATATCAGTGGCAAGTGATATCTAGCAGTTACCTCTTCTTCCATGCATTTTGTTTGGTGCAAGGAGAATGACAATCTCTGGAAGGTGGTGATGGACAGGGAAGCCTGGTGTGCTGCAGTCCATGGGGTTGAAAAGAAATGGACACAACTGAGCGACTGTACTGACTGGCTGAAGGAGAATGACATTGCTTCATAGAAAAGACATGGTCTTCAGAATTCCAACAGGTCAGAGTTCAAATTACACCTTTGTCCATTTCCGCTTGTATGATAGTGTGCAAATTAAGATCTCTAAGGATTCCTATAAAGAGTACATAAGATAAATGTGGAGCTTTTAGCAGAATAATAAGTGTTTTGGACTCAGTAAATATATTCATTGATGTAGTTGATATTCTCTGTTAAGCCCCATCCAAAAAAGATGGACTTTTCAATATTACTGTGAAAAAGAAAGAGGTCATTCAGAATCAAGTCTTGACTACACCTCATTTTAACTTTTTTCAAATCTAAAACTTCACCTATACTAGGTGCTTTCAGTAGTGTGTATATGTTAATCCCAAACTCCTGATTTATTCCTCCCTCCCATTCCTTTCCCCTTTATTAAGCATAAATTTGCTTTCAAAGTCTGTGAGCCTGTTTCTGTTTTGTAAATAGGTTCACTTGTATCATTTTTTAGATTCCACACTTATAAGTGATAATCATATGGTATTTGTATTTCTCTGTCTGACTTACTTCACTTAGTATGATCATCTCTAGGTTCATCCATGTTGCTGCAAAATGGCTTCATTTCATTCCTTTAATGGCTGAGTAGTATTCCATTATATAAATATACCACTTCTTATTTATCCATTCATCTGTTGAAGGACATTTACTTCCATGTCTTGACTATTGTGAATAGTGCTGCAATGAACATTGAGGAAGTGCATGTATTTTTTTTAAATTATGGTTTTCTCCAGATATATGGCCAGGAGTGGAATTGCTGGAGCATATGGTAGTTCTATTTTTAGTTCTTTAAGGAACCGTCATACTGTTCTCCACAGTGGTTTTACCAATCAACATTTACACTAACAGTGTAGAAGGATTCCCTTTTCTCCACTCCCTCTCCAGCATTTATTGTTTGTAAACTTTGATGATGGCCATTCTGACCGGTGTAAGGTACAGACCAGTTTCTGAATGACAGCATTCTGGAACATGGGCAACAAGCATTTCTTCTGCTCATAGTTCATTGGCTAAAACAAGTCACAAGTTCATACTCAGATGCTGGTGGAGAAGCTGGAGTTGGAGGTGACTGGTGAGAAATGTAGTCCCTCATTTCAGCTCCTTCCCCAAATGACTCTACATTGTGGAAGGGGAGAGTGAATTTTGGTGGAGAGCTAGCCATTTCTTCTTTTTTTTTTTTTTTTCCATTTATTTTTATTAGTTGGAGGCTAATTACTTTACATCATTACAGTAGTTTTTGCCATACATTGAAATGAATTAGCCATGGATTTACATGTATTCCCCATCCCAGTCCCCCCTCCCACCTCCCTCTCCACCCGATCCCTCTNCACATCCATACATGACTACGGTAAAAACCATAGCTTTGACTAGACAGAACTTTGTTGGCAAAGTGATGTCTCTGCTTTTCAATATGCTGTCTAGGTTGGTCATAGCTTTTCTTCCAAGGAGCAAGTGTCTTTCAAGCTCAAGGCTGCAGTCACCATCCACAGTGACCTTGCAGCCCAAGAAAACAGAGTCTGTCACTCTTTCCATTGTTTCCCCATCTATTTGCCATGAAGCGATGGGACGGGATGCCATGATCTTAGTTTTTTGAGTGCTGAGTTTTGACAGCTTTTTCACTCTTCCTCTTTCAGTTTCATCAAGAGGCTCTTTAATTCCTCTTCACTTTCTGCCATAAGGGTGGTATCATCTGCATATCTGAGGTTATAGATATTTCTCCTGGAAATCTTGATTTCAGCCTGTGCTTCATCCAGCCCAAAATTTCACATGATGTACTCTGTATATAAGTTAAATAAGCAGGGTGACAATAAATAGCCTTGATTTTAGCAGTCCTTTTTCTCCTTTTAAGTATTTCTTCTCTTCCTTTGATATTGTAGTCTTACAACAGATTTTAGAAATAAGAGATTTCCTCCTCTTTTCCTCTTTGGCCAAAGAAGAAGCTCTAACCTTGGCGTCTGTAGTGGAAGTGCAATGCTTTATCTGTCTTAATTCACGAGTGACTGAGGAAAGCATGGGAACTTACTTTGCTGAATTCTACCCCATCCTCAGAGCTTTTTGTTGTAGACAGCGTTGTTTTCCCTACCCTTTATCTAAAAGTAGATAGCTGTCAAAAAGAAAGGAATAAGATGACAGTCCAGAAATCTCATGGTACTGCATGTAAATAATTTATAGTCCTAGACTGGTTTATAGTCTAAAGGTACAGAAAATGGGAGGCCATGGGGGGATGTGTTATAAGACAAAGGGAGAGATTTGGAGAGTGAGCAGGCTGAAGCCTAGGAGTGGACCTCAGTGAGAAAGGGGATGGCAACATGCATTGGTGGAGGTCACACTGAGGCAGGTTCTGGGCTTAGGACCCAACTTTCTCTTTCTCACCACCTGCAGACCACTGTGATATCTTGGTATACCTCAAGAGAATATGTTCAATTCTTGCCTCACAAGTGAAGTTTATTGTTGTTGTTTAATTGCTAAGTTATGCCAGACTCTTTGCAACCCTATGGACTGTAGCCTCCTAGGCTCCTCTGTCCATGAGATTTCCCAGGCAAGAGTACTGGAGTGGGTTGCCATTTCCTTCTCTAGGGACCTTCCCGAGCCAGGGATCGAACCCACATCTCCTGCATTGTAGACAGATTCTTTACAGCTGAGCCACAAGGGAAGCTCCCAAGTGAAGTTTATTCTCCTGTAATACTTGGAATGGACAACATTCATCTCAAAAACAAAATTTTCTCCAGAGAGAAAAGGGATTTTTCAAAGTTTACCTAATTCATCTTGACCTATCACAGGAGAAATGCTTTGCTGAAAACTGTAGTGTAAACAAGCTGTGCTGCAGTGTGAGGCAACCCCTACCTCACAGAAACCAGGTGAAATGCTTTATGGTTCTGCAGCCTGGGGTGGTGGTGGTTCAGTCACTCAGTTGTGTCTGACTCTTTGTGACCCCGTGGATTGCAGCACGCTAAGCTTCCCTGTTCTTCTCCATCTCCCAGAGCTTGCTTGAACTCATGTCCATTGAGTCAGTGATGCCATCCAACCATCTCGTCCGCTGTCATCCTCTTCTCCTCCTGCCTTCAATCTTTCCCAGCATCAGAGTCTTTTCTAAGAAGTTGGCTGTTCGCATCAGGTGGCCAAAGTATTGGAGCTTCAACTTCAGCATCAGTTCTTCCAATGAATATTCAGAGGTGATTTCTTTTAGGATTGACTGGTTTGATCTCCTTGCAGTCCAAGGGACTCTCAAGAGTCTTCTCCAACATCACAGTTCAAAAGCATCAATTCTTACAGCACTCAGCATTCTTTATGGCCCAGCTCTCACATATATGACTACTGGAAAAACCACAGCTTTGACTGTATGGAGCTTTGTACACAAAGGCCCATAAAGCCAAAGCCTGGGGAGCCTTATGCAAATCTTCCTTTCTCTATACACTTTTGGAAGAAGTGCCCGTGTGCTCAGTCACTTCAGTCATGTCTGACTCTTTGTGACCCTATGGACTGTAGCCTACAAGGCTCCTTCGTCCATGGGATTCTCCAGGCAAGAATACTGGAGTGGGTTGCCATTCCCTCCTCCAGGGGATCTTCCTGACCCAGGGATCAAAGCTGGGTCCCCTGCATTGTAGGCAGATTCTTTATCACTGAGCCAACAGGGAAGGAAATGATATAAAAGGCCCCGATGTATGCGGCAGAGGGAGAAGCTGAGCCAAGAGGAATCCGCGCCCCTGTTCTTGAGAGAAGCTGGCCTCAGAGGATGCAGCCACACAGGATAAAATGTCAGTGGTGGAAGTGCAGGGGTACTGGATAGAGGAAGAGTCACAGAGTGGACACCAGAAGCTCCCGTGACCTTGCAGGAGACACGTAACTGATGGCTCTGGTCCAGTAGGTTTGCTGAGTGATGGCTTCAGGGAAGATGGGCCAGGCCTTGGCTGGGCAGCAGGGAGATGGTGGAGATCCCAGGGAATGCTGCCTGTACTGAGCGAATGGGACATGACCAGTCATGTACCTCAGATAAGAGCTGGCCACTCAGTGGAGAAGGACATCTCAACAAGAGGTCAGTAACGCAGCCATAAAAGGAATTAAATAATGCCATTTACAGCAATGTGGATGGACCTAGAGATTATCATACCAAGCAAAGTAATTCAGAAAGAGACACATGCTATCACTTATATGTGGAATCTAAAATATGATACAAATGAACATATCTGGTGGCTCAGATGGTAAAGAATCTGCCTGCAATGCAGGAGCCCTTTGTTTGATCCCTGGGTCAGGAAGATCCCCTGGAGAAGGGAATGGCTATCCACTCCAGTATTCTTGCCTGGAGAATCCCATGGACAGAGGAACCTGGCAGGTTACAGTCCATGGCGTTGCAAAAAGTCTGTCATGACTGAGCATCTAATACACAGACACATAGCACATGAAACAAAAACAGGCTCACAGATATAAAGAACAGACTGGTGGTCGCCAACATGGGGAAGAGGTGGGAGAGAGAGGACTGGGAGTTTAGAATTAACAGATGCAATTATTATATATATGATGGATAAACAACAAGGATCTATTGTATAGTGAGAGAACTATATTCAATACCCTATGATAAACCATAACAGAAAAAGAATGAGAAAGAATAAATGTATGGTCACTGAGCTGTATAGCAGAAATTAAATACAACATTGTAAATCAATTATAATTCAATAACATTTTTTTTAAAAAAGAACTAGAGGATGACACAAGGACCCATATATATAACAGTTGCCTCTGTTCTCCAGAGGAAAGGCATGATTTGCCATCCTTACTGATTCCATCTTGGGGAGGGAGACGATATGGGATGGACACTTGAAAAGTAAACATAGCCTGGTAGGGAGCAGAAGCTTGAACCCAAAAGAGACTGAACTAACCAAGAGGAAAACTATTTATTTAATCCTAGCAGAGACTGAAATACATTGATTGTCAAGATGGTTCTTCTTACAACTCCCAGCCCCTCTGGAAGGAAATCATTCCAATTTATATATCTCACCTCCTTTTTAGACATCTGAGTATGCTGTATAAAAAATGTTGACCCTGTGATAGCTGCATAATTTATACCTAGCAGGAGACTTATCATAGAGCATATGCTCAGAATATATATGTTGTATAAAGATTTTAGACATAAGGCAAACTCCTCTATTAAACCAAAAAACAAGTTAACGTCATGTTCCATTTCTGTATATAGAGGTAATTTTTATAATCATATATATTTGCATAATGTATTTTTAAACTCAAGTTGAAAGCCAAAGCTATTTTACTGCAACTGATTAAAAGTGCTTACAATGGCCAAGTCAAAACATGCAATATGAAAGAGGATTAAAGCGATCTGAAAAATAGACCCACGTCTCATACACACCTCAATTCTGCAACTGTTCTGGGGAGACAGTAACATTTTGTCCTATATTTTCTCTTTTTTCATTTCTCTATTTTGTTACTCAGACTTTATGAGCCCCAGGGCAGTTTTGTGTCTCTGCACTGACTCTAAATAATGGGATAAAAAAATTATTTTTAGGTAAAAGCAAAGGGGTGAAAATGGGTTTAGTATGTGGAGGCAATAATAACTTCTGTATATAATATTTTAACTGAAATCAGCTGGCTTCTTCAATTTCTTTGTAAAAGAAGAATGAATTTCATGAAGGGATGGCTTGAGGATTTTAATATTTATACAAGATGCATAAGGGAATATTTTTACAAGGATAAAACAGAAGTTGATAAAGGTTATCTACACCATAAAATAGCCAGTAGAAAACTTAATATTATAAACAAAACTTTTGCACACACAGAACATAAAAGAGGCTAAAGTTCTCCTGCCAAACAAAGCAATTTAAATAAACTAAAGAAAATAACAACTCCAGTAATGGACTTCTGTCTTGACCCATTAACTTACAAGGACAAGGTTAAATAAAATGAAGCTCACAAATAGCACAATAATTTTGAATTGGTTGTTGGCTTGGTTGGTTGGTATGTTTGTTTTTGCAAAATGTTATTTTCCCCTGGCACCAGGTAGGTTGTCAGAGACATTCTATGCCCATACTGACAGAGCAAAGCGGGAGTGTTTTGGGTTACCATATCTATAACTTTGCCCCAATTCTTTCACTTTTCTAAAGAACTTAATTTTACTCTCCTAGATTATCATTAATCTTCCTGTTCTCAGGCTCTACTACATTATGATTCAAATGTTATAGTGGACTTTTTCCAAGGAGAACACTGTTTCTCTTTACATATTTCAACCTTATCAGCCCATTGGAAGGGTAATTTAGTTTTTCCCCTGTCTAAAGTGATCCATCAGAGCCTGAACTGTTGACACTCTATGCTGTCAAGTTATTTAAACCAGGCTGGTAATGGGGCCAGCTTGCCGATGTGGAAGCACCCGTTGACTGCTTGACAATTTTCCTCAATAAGCCCCCAAATGATCAATGTGCTATCCTGCTGAGAAAACCTATAAAAATCTCTCATCGGTTGTATAATTCTGTTGTGGCCATACGGACAAGTGGGAAGGACGGAGAACATAACTTTGCACTTGAAGTTCCTCACATCCTACTGCACAGATTTTTAGCAACTATCCAGGATCCTCAAAGTAACTGTGAACTAAATTCCTATAAGACCTATAAGCCTACAGAAGGTTTGTTTTTCCAAAGCTGCCTCTCGTGACTCTCGTCTGTTGCTACTCTGTCCTCGTGTTCTCCCACGTTCTTGACTATGAAAATAAGAACTATTGACTAAAGTGATAAAGATATGCAGCCTCATAGCAACACAGCAAAGTCCAAGAGACAGATAAGAAAACTGGAGTTGGGGGGAACTGCCCGGTAAGAATGTTATACAGAAATTCTCTTACCTTTGATTCTGAGGATTCAAATCCCCTCAGCAATCCCTGCTTACTAGAAGTACCCAGGCTTCAGCCACTCAAGAATTTACTTTCACTAGAGGCAATGCAATCTTGAGTCATCTCTCACTGTTAGGAAGCTATTCCTGAAACTCAGACGTTTCAGCCATCACCAGCCAGCTAAGAGTACAAATGTATTTACATTAACCCCATAAAACTCCTGCTCTAAAGACTCCCCATTGCTCTTTAGTTAGAAATACTCAGAGAAGAGAGTTGACCTTCCCCAAATATTTCTGAGATTCCTCCAAAACTCTTATAATTCAATGGTCTTCTAGGTCCCAGAAGTTGTGGGTCCTAGGTATGATTGTTTTGCCTTTTGAAGTCCCCACATCAGTAGGTTGAAGGAGACAGTGATGTCTCAGCATATAAACCAAACTACTGCAACTGCTTTTGTCATGTTCCCAGGTCATCAGGAGTCACTGATGACCTCTTCCAGGCCACTAAACTATTTTTTTCCTGGGTCTGGAAAGGAGAAACATGAGTTTGTTTCTTAAGAGATACCGCTTTGAGAGAGAGTTCCCTCAGGAGAGCCACTGAGATCTTACTGACATTGTTCTTTTATGCCATCACCCAAGGGTTGGAGGGCTAGATCCTGGTATTGAAGGGCATTGGGCAGTGAAAGAAGTCAGCAAGGACTTGCTTCTGGCATAACTACCAGGGGCATCCCTATGGATTGAGGAAGGGCTGTTTGTAGGTGGATTTAGGAATGAAAATGCTCATGTCACACGTATTTCATCACCCTCTTACTTATCCAGGTTGTGTCAGGGCTATGTTTACACAAAATTACAGAGTGTGAAAGCCGAAATTGCTAATTTGGAGAGACTCTCCATCACCAAGCAAGGATATCCCAGGCCAGCTGGACTGAGCTCAGCTGAGGCCGTGGCTTCAGCTATGAATGACAAGGAAGTTCTGGGTCACTGCTGGCTCTGAGGCAGTCTGTCCGTAGTGCCTGGTTGGACAAATTCCAAACTCTTTTCCTTCAACAGCTCCCATCACAGATGGGCAGTAAATGGGCCTGGGAAAGCTGGCAAGGACGTGGGCTTCCTTCTATCTTGGTGGTGAGTCCCTCTGGTGGTGGGGTGGGTGGGGGGCAGGAGACTTCTCTGCTAACTGTCCTTCTAAGTACATTTGAAAATACTTAGGTTTGTGAGACCAACTGCTGCATATTTTTGTTATTGTAACTGCCTGTGATAAGCACACTTCACCCTGTATCTGTGAGTAGAAAACCCTCTGATTTCAGGCCCCCTGCTCTTGTCTCTGCCCAGCTGATGGTTGCCTCTGATTCTGTGTGTATGTGTTTCCCATTCAGCTTTCCATCTAGGAAAGGATATCAAGTCCCTTCCTTACTTTGGTCTTTATGTCCCTTGGATCTGCTCCCTTCCCCGTCTCTGCTCTGCTGTGTCTCACTTTGTTTCACAGGCTCTTGTTTCAGCTGGCTTCTGGCAAACTCCTGGCCTGTGGAAAGACAGGCAGGTGATTGTGGAGTCAAAGAAAGAACCCAAGTGATTTTTTCCTGTACTTCACTATCTTGGGCATCATCTCAGCCATTGACCATGTCTCTTCAATGGCTCCAGCTCCTGCCAAGTGACAGGAATTCTACTTTCTGACTGGTGACTTTAGATACTTATCCAGGTTGTGTCAGGGCTATGTTTACCCAAAATTACAGAGTGTGAAAGCCGAAATTGCTAATTTGGAGAGACTCTCCATCACCAAGCAAGGATATCCCAGGCCAGCTGGACTGAGCTCAGCTGAGGCCGTGGCTTCAGCTATGAATGACAAGGAAGTTCTGGGTCACTGCTGGCTCTGAGGCAGTCTGTCCGTAGTGCCTGGTTGGACAAATTCCAAACTCTTTTCCTTCAACAGCTCCCATCACAGATGGGCAGTAAATGGGCCTGGGAAAGCTGGCAAGGACGTGGGCTTCCTTCTATCTTGGTGGTGAGTCCCTCTGGTGGTGGGGTGGGTGGGGGGCAGGAGACTTCTCTGCTAACTGTCCTTCTAAGTACATTTGAAAATACTTAGGTTTGTGAGACCAACTGCTGCATATTTTTGTTATTGTAACTGCCTGTGATAAGCACACTTCACCCTGTATCTGTGAGTAGAAAACCCTCTGATTTCAGGCCCCCTGCTCTTGTCTCTGCCCAGCTGATGGTTGCCTCTGATTCTGTGTATATGTGTTTCCCATTCAGCTTTCCATCTAGGAAAGGATATCAAGTCCCTTCCTTACTTTGGTCTTTATGTCCCTTGGATCTGCTCCCTTCCCCGTCTCTGCTCTGCTGTGTCTCACTTTGTTTCACAGGCTCTTGTTTCAGCTGGCTTCTGGCAAACTCCTGGCCTGTGGAAAGACAGGCAGGTGATTGTGGAGTCAAAGAAAGAACCCAAGTGATTTTTTCCTGTACTTCACTATCTTGGGCATCATCTCAGCCATTGACCATGTCTCTTCAATGGCTCCAGCTCCTGCCAAGTGACAGGAATTCTACTTTCTGACTGGTGACTTTAGTCCTTGGGCTACAGTAACCCCAGACCCCTGCCTACGGCTGCTAGCAGCTTCTTGCTGTTGCTAATGTCTGAGCTATCTGACTGCTCCCTAGATAGATTTTTAGCTTCATCATGGGTGATACCCATTCACTCTGTTAAATATTTACAGTATTTTGTTTCCTGGTTGAATCATGACCTATGTTGAGGGTAATATTGAGTTATGGATCATACTAATGTTGAGCTGGATGGAAAACTTCACGAGAAAAACCACTGGAACTGTATATGTGATTGCATATAGGAGCTGAAGACCATGACTAATAAAATATGACTGCAATATCTTTGTAATCAATCAGTTTCAGTACCAGAAAATCAACTCAAGAGATAAAGCAGTGATTAAGAAATGAAGACTGCTGTTGGCTTTCCACTAAGAAACTTATGTGAGTTCTGGGCAGGTTTCAGAACATATTATCACAGGCCATCAGGCCAATCCTTTGAGCAAAATTTTGGGCAGTGAGGGACATCATGGTTGATGATGCTGTAAGTTATTTCAATAAGGTAGCAAAAACATCTGGGTTCTCAGAGTTAATATAAATGAAACCAGAAGAATGAGAGTGGAGAGAAATGGCATAAAACATGGAGGAAAAGAAGAAACTCAGCAGTGCTGGAAATGATAACCTCTACCCCAGAGGTTGCCAAACCACAGCCCACTGGCCAAATCTATTGGCTGCCTGTTTTTGTCAATAAAGTTTTATTAGAACACAGCCATACCGGTTTATTTACACGCATCATCTATGGCTGCTTTTGAGCTTCAACAACAAAATCAATTAGTTGAAGCAATATCGCTCAGAGCCTAAAATGTTTCCCTTTGATCCTCCACAGAAATTTTCCGATCCCTGCTTTAGTCTCGCATGTAGCAGTCCACAAGCCCTTCCTGATGAAGTCCCAACATCTCAAAGCAGAGTTAAACTCACTTGCATCTGCGCTCTCATGACTCTTTTTATATACAGCATTATCACACCGATCACATTGTAACTCGACTCACTGCAGAGATTGTGCTCACCCATCTCCCCATGGGTTATAGCAAAAACCACCTTGTCAACCCACTTCCATCTAGCCCCTACACAAATTGCCAACATGATCTTGAGTCAGGCTATTTCCACTTGCAACAACTCCCCACCACAGCAGCTCCTATCACATTTAGGATAAAACTTCAATGCTTTACTGTGGTCTTGAGGTCTCTGCCTGCAACTGGGACCCCATGTCATACAAAGTCCTGCTCCAGCCATGCTGCCTCACTTACAGTGTCATGCCAAACTTGTTCTCCTCTCAGGGCTTTTGAAATTATAGCTCCCCTACATGGAAAACTCCTCTTCCAGATCTTCCCCGCTGGCCACTTCCTCATATTCATATCTCAGCACAGATGTCACCTACTCAGAGAAGCTGTTGCTAATGATCCCAGCAAAGTGCTACACTCCCTAGTGCATCATTCTATATCAATTCACCCACTTTATTTTATTCATAGCTCTCATGGCCATCTGAAATTATCTTGTTTATTTTTCACTTATTCATTAGCTGTCTCCTACAATGCCAGCTTGCTAAAGCAGGGACCTTGTATCTTGGGTTTATTGTTGCATTCTCAATGTTTAGAATAATTCCTGACATTTAGGTGTTCAATAAAGATTTGTGAATCCATGAATCAATGGTTTATAGAAGCACTCATTTATTTGTACTTTGTGTCAAGCCAACAGCAAGCTCCTAGAAGTCAATGGTCACAATTGTTATATCTTTGGGACATAACATGATGCCTAGAATTCAATTAATGCACTTGCTAAATGTTTGTTGAAAAAATCATTGTTATTGAGTGAATACTTACAGATAATGAAAATGCATGCAACCATAGAAAAAATGGAATATACAAAATGAATTAGTTTAAATATTAAGGTATTCTTATGACAAATATTGATATATTGAACATTACAAGTTTTAAGAAATTTCAGAGAATGGTCATGGCTCCAGTTTACTTAATTGGCTGATTATCTTTGCCTTCAAACTATAACAAATATCTGCAAACATCTTTGTGCAGATTCTCAGTTTATTTGTACTAGCATGTGCTCATCCATAGGTAAAGCCGACAGGTTTTCTCACCTGCTAATAAAAAAAGATTGCAAACCTAGCATCTTCAAAAATAGTGCGCTTCAGACCCAATCATGGAGTTAGAAGTATGACAGTATTGCAATGAAAAACATAAGAGAAGAGTCTATTTCTCTCCAAGTTCTGTCTTTGATGACACTAATCATGCCTGCTTTTGTTCAGGTTTGGTTCAAAATGAATAGGGAATAGAGTAGACAGCTGAATGTCATGCTCTTTTTCTTTCTAAGATAATTTACCCCCTGAAGAAAGAGAAAAATCAGTTTTTGCAGGTGCAAATTCATTCAAAGTCAGCTATCCAAAATCCAAGTCTTGTAAGTAAAGATGCTATGCCTCGAGGTTCAGATCCCAGCTACTGAAATGAATGACTAATGAACAAAAAAAAATGGTCCTAATTCCACAAGAGATGGAGCCTTAAACAGAGCCTACCTTCTAGCTGCTCCCATGCACGTGGGTTCAGGTCCGATGCAGTTCCATGCCAGCACACTTGCGCTTGGAGGAGGGGTAAATGTGTCATCTGGGGAGGCAGCTGTCAGGCCTGGCAGGGTGCAGTCACTTCTCAGGGTCACAGCATTCCAGCATCTGCTCCTCAGCTTTGCAGATCCAGAAAATAGAATGTGTCAGTGTGCTTGTAGTTGATTAATCCCCAGGAATTTACAAGAGACTGATGTACAAAGCAGAGTGCCAATTTACCAATTTATACTAAGAAATGTAACTGCCAAATGGTTCCGAACATTTATGTCAGCAGGAGAAGGCAGCCTGCTAAAGATATGAGGAGGTCAATCATAATCCAAAGTTTGATGGGTAGTCATAGACCTGGCATGCATGGATTGGAGCAGGAGGGGGAAGTTGGATGACCTTAAGATCTGGTGTCATTAAGTCTGACCCATTCATCTCCAAGCTGAGATTGACCTGCCAGGAAGGCAGGACACTTGGATTCTCTGGCCAGTGCTGGAAACACATAGACAATTCCTGTTCACTGGCCTTCCCTTTTCTAGATTCCTTGCTGGACACCCACATAGTCTTCCTTTACATATATTAATGCCATTGAATAGGGTGTGCCTTTTTTCTATGTTCAGTGAGTCATTATTAACAGTAATGAGCTAATATTAATATTTATTGAGTGGTAATAAGTGCTGGATGTATGCTAACTTCACAGTCAATTCTGCTTAAATGCTTGTTTTGAAAACAGTAACTTGTTTAAGAACCATATATTAGGGAACAGTTTGAACATACTGTGAATTCATTTGCTTATACACAACTTTGTCTGCAGGAAGCCCTAGGCCAAAGCAAAAACTCAATGGAATCCAACCGCTATGAATATACAAAGTGTATACACAGACATACATCAGACCTCTACCAGCTGCCTCAGTTCACCACATGAGTCAACTCATCCATATCCAGTGTCACAACTTTCTTTCCAATTTCATATACAGCCCCCCTCCCCACCACCAATCTGGCTTCCCTGGTGGCTTGGTCCATAAAGAATCTACCTCCAATGCAGGAGATTGACTGCAGTACAGTAGGCCTGGGCTCAATCCCTGGGTCGGGAAGATCCCCTGGAGAAGGAAATGGCTACCCACTCCAGTATTCTTGCCTGGAAAATCCCATGGACAGAGGAGTCTGGTAGGCTACAGTCCACGGGGTCTTAAGAGTCAGACACAGCTTAGGTACTAAACCACCACTCCCAACCCATCCACTGCTCCACCATAACCCACAAGCTGCAACCCTCTGGCACCCAGTTTCACAGGTCTTTTCACAGGTCTTTTCACAGGGCCATATTTACTGTAGTATCTATGTATTTCTTAACCATTCATCATGTAAAATTGTTCTAGTATTTCCATCAAAGTATCCTCCTCTTCTTTGTGTTTCACCAGTGTTTTAGTGTTGTGCTTCTAACCTCTTTTCTCCTGTAAGTTTGTGGTTTTTATTGTGTACTTCTGCATAGCACAGTGATTTTAGGAAATGCATATGTTACATTATAGTAGAACTGAATATACCTTATTATCCTATTTAATCTTGCAAAAAGTATCATTTTTCATTGGAGGACACTGAGATTCCAGGGGTTTGAGTAATTTACCCAAGAACAAAGAGTTGGTGAGTAGTTAAGCAAAGATGCGAACTCTCTGTTCTAACATACTCTGATAGCTTTGGGCTCCTAATCTGATATAGGGCCAACTTGTCTTTTCAGGTGGTTTCACCAAGAATAATTGATTTCAGATACTCAGAAGTAGGGCAGTAGAATGGTAAAAATATGCTTTTTGGAGCCCTGCTGCTGAATTTAGATCCTGGCTCTGTCACTTACAACCTGTGTAACAATGGGCGAGTTATATAACATGGCCAACTGTTGCAAAATGGCCCAGGAATCTCCCTCCTTATACCCTTGCCCTTTGAAAAATGCTTTGCCATCAAGAGGCAGATTCTATTTTCCTCACCCCACTGTCTCTGGGTTTGCACTCTGACCTGCTCTAATGAACAAATATGGCAGAAGTGACACTGTACCAGTCTCGAGGTTAGAACTCAGGAGCCCTTGAATGCTTCACTCATTCTCACGGAAAACTGACACCACCATGTGAACAACCCCAGACTTGCTTGGCCTGTGGAATGATGAGAGATGACGTGGTCCAGTCACCCCAGTACCCCCAGATAACAACTCATGAAAAGTCGAAAGTGTGAGTGAGGCCATGACAGACTCCCCACCCCCAGTGAGTCAGCAGCTAAGTACAGATACATGAATAAGGCCAGCTAAGATCAACCGGACCCAGATCAGCAAAATTATTATTTTTTGAGTTACTAGATTGGGGATTATTTGTTGCACAGAAAATAACACACCTGATGCATTTAACTTCTCTGTAAATGAACTACCCAATATGTAAAATGGGAAAAATAACAGATCTGGGAGGGTTAAATGAGTTAGGTATACAGAGACAGACTCAGAGTAATACCTTGGGTGTTAACAAAAATGAAGACTTAAACACCAATAGTTTATTATTATTATTATTTCTCAAGGTTCTGAGGGTTGACTGGGCTTGGGTGGTTAATGCTGAGAATCTCTCAGACAAATGCAGGCAGACAAGGGTTCGGGCTGGGGTCACCTTTTTTTTTTTTTTCCCAATATTTATTTGTTTGGCTGCAGCAAGTCTTAGTTGTAGCACATGGGATTTTACCTCTGGTATGTGAACTCTCAGTTGCCACATGCAAACTCATAGTTCCAGCATGTGGGGTCTAGTTCCCGGACCTAAAATGGAACCTGGGCCCCAGCATTAGGAGCATGAAATCTTTGCTACTGGACGACCGGGGAAGTCCCAGACCTGGGGTCTTCTTAAGAGCTTCTTCACTTACATGGTGGTACCTCAGCTAGAAGTCTCAAAAGGACCAACAGGAGCTCAGACATCTCTCTCTCCCTTTATCCTTTGGGGTCTCTCCAAATAGTGAATTTGCATAAGTTAGGCTTTTTCCTTGGCATATGGTGATTCTCAGGATCCCAAGAGAAGGCAGGCAAAAGCTGCATGATCTTTTCCATTCTTGGCTTGAACGCCACTCTGTATCCCTTTGCTGCATTCTCCCCACCCAGATCATCACAAAGTCTTGTCCAAGTCTGAAGAGGAGGGCCATACACTCAAGTACGGATGGGAGCTGTGTGAGAGAATTCATAGCTGTGTTTTAAGAACACAATGATCTAATTACATACAGTCATCATTACATCCTTCTCCCAGCAACCCTACTAAGGGTAGCAAAAACTGTGCATCTTTTATTATTTGAAGACATATTTTTAGACTGTTTTAGGTTCACAGAAAAATTGAGAAAAAGAGATTTCCCATAAATTCCCTGCTCCCCCACACACGCTGACTTCCCCATCACCAACATCTCCCACTACAGCGGTACCTTTGTTACAACTGTTGAGCTGATATTGACCCATCCACTTTTAACATGAGGAAAACGTGACTCAGAAAGATTGAATAATTTGCTGAAAGTCACAAAACTAGACATTCTCAGAGCTTTCACTCCACCCAGGATGTTTTTAGCCAAAACCTGTAATTTTAAGCCATATGTGACACTACTAATCACATCTAGGTTTCCTGACCATCATGTGTAGTGGGCACAAAAATCTCTGAGCTGGGAGGTAAGCAGCTGTCACTCCCACATGGGAACTGAATATACTAATGGAATGTAAGTAGCCAATCAAACCCTTTTTCTGGACCTTTCTCATAAGCCTGCTTATGCTCTACAATTACAGAGCAATTGGTTTACTACAGATAGAGAAGCACCAAACAGTAGACAGGTAAGAATTTAGAGACAGAGGAAGCAAAAGAGACAGGGCAAAGGTAACAGAAGCAGCCTAGTATAGATAAAATAACAATTCTTTATATTTATATTAGTATTTTAAAAGTCATATTTACATGGGTTATTTCACTCACCAGCAACAAAAAGAGGTATTATTTTATTGGATACCTGTGAAAGGACAAAAATGAAATCTCCTTCCCATAGACACCCCACTGGGAATGACAGAGCTGAGTTTGTAACTCAGGCATGGAGTCCCAGTCCTAACAGCTGCCTACTACCCACAGGGTACAGTGGGGTAACTTATCCCACTCCTGTTGAATATGCCATTTAACTTCTTCTGCTTGAGTTTCTATGTCTTTATACTTTGAGAGGGTTGTTCCAAATAGCTTTTAATGTCCCTTCTCTGATTTTTCATGCGTCATGGTAAAAGTGTCATGGTTTGCTCTGATGCCCCAGAAGGTAAGAATGAGCCCGATTAAAATTATCTTTAAGAATCCCTTAGTTGGGTTTCATATTGAAAGCTGATACACATCACTGTTCAGTTTTCCCCCCTGTGTTTTTCCTGTGGGGGTTTCCTTTGATGAGCCCCAGATGAAGTCAATGACTTTGGTTAAAGGTCTAAACTACATTCAGTGTAGAGACATGCTCAGCCTGAAAACTGAGACTAGCCAAAGGGGCAATTGGTTCATTCCCCTGTATAATAGTTACCATATCAATGGAATGGCTGGCAGATAAAACTATAGTGTGAAATTTCTATTTAATATTGGGTTATTGGATTTTCCTTTGTTTGTTGGCTTTTCTCCATTGGTTGTTTTTCCTGTTTTTTCTTAAAAGGCTGGGCACATAGAGATCACTTAAGTATCATCCAATACTATTATTAAATAAGAAAATATAAAGAATTGGGAGCCATAGTTGGACAGAGGAAGGATAATCACAAAACTATATATGTAATGAAACATATGAACTAAGTAAGAAGGACCTCAATTCAAAACCAGACTCTTCTACATTGTTCATTGCAGCACTGTTTATAATAGCTAGGACATGGAAACAACTATATGTCCATCAGCAGATGAATGGATAAGAAAGTTGTGGTACATATTCACAATGGAATAGTACTCAGCTATTAAAAAGAACATATTTGAATCAGAAAAAAATCAGATTCTTCTTCTTATTCTTTGGTAATCTTGGAGTTGGAATCTATAAAACTGAAACAACACCTACACATCGGCCTGTAAGAAGTAAAGGAAATAATATGCATAAAATGCTTAACACAGAATCTGGCATACCGTAAGTGTTCAAGAAAGTCACTTAAAATAATTATTTTTGTATTATCATGGAAAGGAGAGAACTTGGGCAGGAAGTAGCCCAAGGAAAGAATATCACAAAGCCATAAATAAGCCTAGGAATAGACAAAAATGTATTCTCCCATCAAGAATTATCCCTTCAGATGGGGAGAGCAAATGTTTCTATGAGGAGATATTTTAAGAAGATGGTACTTAAGTGTGCGTTGCTGATGTCTTATTCTTTCCAAGTTCCATTCTGCATTCTCTCCAAAGCAAAACAATAGCTAAAATGGGCACCCTGAAATAGCCTTTATGATACCCCTACTATAAAGTTAAAGACAAGACCAGAACTTTGTTTACCCTGCTTTAGGCAGTAGCCACAGTCCCAGGAATGGAAAGGCCTCAGGCAAGCATTTGAAGGTGGAAGTTCTTTGTGACAGTCTGGCCATAAAAAGAATCTCCCTAGGAAGTTGTGTAGTTGTACATGCGTGCATGTGTGTGTGTGTGTGTGTGTGTCTGGGTGTGTGTATGCAGTCAACTTATAAAATATTCACAATCTAAAAGTTGAGAGTTCTGTTTTGTTTAGTGGGAAATTTTAGAACATCAGGTCTAGGAGACAGCCTCTCAAGTAACCCTGAGAGATTGTTCTGAGGAGGTGAGGAGAGGAGCCAGATTATACAGAAATTTTGCAACAAAGGACAGGTAATCTCTTCATCAAAAGATTACTGCTAATTAAAGAAAAACATATCCCAAATTAAAGAATTTAGTATTCCTCAATATGTGGGAAGACGCAAAAGTCTGGGTTCCCTGAAATCATTCCTTTCATGTGCATCTCAGTATCCTGTGTATTTCACATCCTGAGTTCCCTTGTGGTTCCCCATAGGGAGTAGTTGCAGTCCTAATGGCTGCTAGTTCCCAGCTATTCTCCTTCCTGAGTGTCTTTAGGGACATCCCTGGTAGTTCAGCTGTTGAAGAATCTGCCTGCAATGAAGGAGACTCTGGTTTGATTCCTGGGTTGGGAAGATCCTCTAGAGAAAGGATAGGCTATCCATTCCAGTATTCTTGGGCTTTCCTGGTGGCTCAGCTGGAAAAGAGTCCACCCACAAACCCAGGAGACCTGGGTTTGATCCCTGGGTTGGGAAGATTTAGGGCTCAGGAACTTGCTTGCATTGAAGGGCTGCAATCACTGATGACTGTCACATCCTTGTTTACTGATATGGCAGGAAAGACTCCATTTCTCAGGGTGTCAGCAGGTTTTTTGACCCCTCAGGAACTTCAAGGGATTACAAAAGTGTTGCATTTGAGCTAAAACCTATACCATAAACCTAAAGCTATAGAAAAACAAACCCTTATAACATTGCAATTGGAGAAACAAGGAAGCAGTAAAATGTTCCCCCAGTGTTTCAAGAGGGAACAAATGCATGCAAATTAATAAGACTACCTCACAGAGACAAAGAATAACATCACTTCCACCACTCCAGGCTTTGCTGCAGCTGGGAGATGCAATACCTTGATTTGACCCCCTCTCACAACAGCACTCGGAGAAGGCAATGGCACCCCACTCCAGTACTCTTGCCTGGAAAATCCCATGGACAGAGGAGCCTGGTAGGCTGCAGTCCATGGGGTTGCGAAGAGTCAGATGTGACTGAGCAACTTCACTTTCACTTTTCACTTTTATGCATTGGAGAAGGCAATGGCAACCCACTCCAGTGTTCTTGCCTAGAGAATCCCAGGGACGGGGGAGCCTGGTGGGCTGCCGTCTATGGGGTCACACAGAGTCGGCCACGACTGAAGTGACTTAGCAGTAGCAGCAGCATAACAGCACTTCAAGTATTATGCCAACAGACCCTCAACCATTTTTGATTTTTACCCAAGACCTCATTCAAGGAAGGAGTAAGATGCAATAGAAGAAAAAGGGGAGTGAGAGGGAAGGAAATCTAGGAAGTCTCCCACATTCAGATTGAACACAGTAGGAATTAGTCTGTTGAATATTATATTTACCCGGGTCATGAAACCGGATGACATACGAGGCAGCTGTAGGAAAGATTTTGTTTTTAATTTTCTGGCTGCATCATGTGGCATGCGGGATATTAGTTCACCCATCCAGGAATCGAACCTGTGCTCCCTGCAGTGGAAGCACCGAATCTTAACCAAATGACCACCAGGGAAGTCTGGAGAGATTTATCTTAAGAGAAATGGGTAATGCCAGTATCAGTAAGACTGAGGTGAAGATGGGGAAAAAAGGAAAAGCAGCATTAACTCTAGAGGCCAAAGAATGGTACCCTCTATCTCCAAGATAAAAATGTGTAGAAATATATCATTAGAAGGAGAAACAACTCTCTAACACTTAGGAGCTTGCTAAGAGTTGAGGCTTTGAAGTTTGGGTTGAGGTTCAGTGACTACTTACACATTTAATATGACAGGGTAAGTCACTCTCAGTCCTGCACCTGTGCTCTTCACATGCGTTCATTTAAATTGCATTAAATGCCTTTTGCTTTGCATGGTCAACAACGGAATTGCTTGCAAAACTTCCTATTCTGTGACCAGGTGTGAGGATTGCCCTTCTCTTCCTGCTTTGAGGTTACATGTGGTCCTATGACTTGCTTTTCTATTATGAGCAGAAGTAACATGTGTCACTTTCTGGCAGAAACTTTAAATGAGAGTCAATGTATGATTTACTGTATCTTCTTTCCTTGCTTTGCTGATTATAAATATATGTATCAAGATGGCACCTCCACCACGCTATGTCCTTAAGTGGCTCCAATGGGCAGAACATGCCTACTGACTTGAGATGGATATGTAATGTGAATGACAAGTAGGCATTTACTATGTTGGGTTATTAAAAGGCCTGATCGTTGTCTTCTCCCCATTTCACACTTGTGAAATCATATTAGAAATCACCGCTGGTGCAAGTCACTTAAGACTAGTGTTTACTGCATCTGAAATTAAAACAAACTTTACTTCCCCTGACTCACTAAATCTCCCTTCTTCAGGCAAAGACCTTGGAGTTGCCAGAGTAGGATGTCCACGCCTTGAAACCATTATCTTTGGTCAGCTGGTCCAACTTTAGATGGTAACTTATATTTGCTTTCACTAATAAAAATAAAAGTGAACCTCACAAAATGATGGAATGAACCCTAAAGACAGCTACCTAAACCTTTACCCTTTCACC